AGAACCGGCAGCAGAAGCAGTAACAGCAGCAGCAGCAGTAACAGCAGTAACAGCAGCAGTTGTAACATCAGCAGTAACAGTAACAGCTGACAGGACAGAAATCCATTACGTAACACCATGAAAGTGCAGTCGCACACAGACTGTAAATGTCTCTCTACCAGATGTTATCACCATCAGGTGTAAACTATAGATGTTACACACAGACCTGGAGTCAGATCTATAACTCACTCTCTCTGTGTGTGTGTGTGTGTGTGGGGGGGGGGGCAGACGACAGCTGACCCAGACCCTGACTGACCGACACGAATCTGACCGAGAGGCAGAAATCCAGATTAAAACCAGACTCTTGAATCAATAATTACCCCTGTTGTTCAGGTTCAGGTTGGATGAACTGCCCCCGAGGGTCGGGGCAGAGCAGCCGTAGTTTAACAGTTCTCTGTCCCGGCAGAGGAACTGATAAAAGAACAGAGTGTGAAAGGAGCGCCCCCTATAGGTCCAGCTTCTATAAACAACAACAACAAGTCATTTCTTTGGTTTCAGCCGTTGTCATATTACAGTTGTTATTACGATATAAGGAAAAGGACGGGCTGGAGTGATGTGATGCTAGGACCCCACAGCTGCATCAGAAGGTTCTGGGTTCGATACCTAACTCCTCCACAGATCTCAGATTAGGTTTAGTTAAGAAGAGAATCTGGGAGAAAAACTCGGTTGTGTGGATGGACGATCGCTGTGGTTTAAAAATGAAAAAAGGCTGAAAGTGAAAATCATCATCACAACATTTTTTTTTCCTAAATATTCTTTTCTTTAAAGTAAGGTTTGTGCATAAAACAACTTTACGTTGATTCAGTGACAGATTTACTTCTGTTTTTTGGTTGTTGTTTTTCTTCTTTTCTTTTGTCACACCAGCTCTCCAAATAATTGCTTCAATTTATTTATTTTTTTGTTCCAACTCTGCTGCTGCTCAGTGATGACAGTCACTCCGTCACCCTGTGTGTGTGTGTGTGTGTGTGTGTGACCCTGGAGAACATGAGCGTGTAAATCCAGCCCACAGAAGGAGGTCAGGGGGAAAAGAGGGAGGAA